TCAGGCCAAGAGGTTAAGACTTAGGAGTAAAGAGTGATTCTCATAAGAGAGGGCACGAGGAGTAGAGGGATTTTAGGGGAGAGATATGATCAAGCGAGGAGACTAGGTCATGCACACCCTCTCCACACTGCCCATCCTTCCCCGTTAACCACTTTCCTTTGCTGAGATTTGAATAGCACATCTCATTCTATCTTCTTTGCCCCTTTTGATTTTATGATTTCATCAAATCCTTGACACTTTTCTTTCTTATTGTTCTTCCTTCTTCTTTGAAATTTCCTTTCCTTGAAATTCCCGTTGTTCTTTCGTTCCGTTCTTTTCCGGATTGAATTCCTTTATTCAAATGCTAGTTTTCGATTTTCATTTCTTTTAGCTGATAGCTGATAGGTTTATGGTTTATTTAGCTTTTGTACTTCGTAGTTGACAAAGTATGCAAACAAAGCATGACAAAGCATGCAATGTGGTCATCCTAGACTCATTCACTCCCCCCCCCGCCCGCCTTTCAATCATTCCACAAGAATGTCTTTTCTCTTTCCTACTCCGTTTTCTCTTTTTGTAGACTTTCCTTTAAAAGAAATACAAATAAATGCTCTAATAGCCTTTTCTATAACCGAAGGCTAACGGCTAGCACTAATTCTATTTGAGTTTAGGTTAGGCTTAGGCTTAGGCTCAAGCTTAGGCTCAGTCTCAAGCTCAGTCTCAAGCTTAGGCTCTTTAACTTTGAAACAACCGCTAAGGGGGCAAGATTTAGTTAACGAAAGTTTTCAAAGCTCTCCAACTATTAGCTCTATTGGGTTGGGGAGAATAAAAATGGCGTCAAACTTTAAAGACAACTTTAAAGACAACTTTAAAGACAACTTAAACACAACTTAATTTAAAAGGTTTTAAGGCTTTAAGAATTCAAAGTTAATTGACTGTTATAGAGAGCTTTTTTTTTTTTTTTTTTGTATCTTTTTTTCTTTCTTTTTGCATGCCTTCTTTAAATAAACGTTTTATTTCATCAAAAGAGTTCATGATTTCTCTGACTCTTGAGAGATTTCATAAAGCTCTTTTCTTTTGTCGAGTTTATCGACTCCTAGATAAAGCTAGTCAAAATGGTAGAGTCCAACTCATCTTTTGATTTAGTTTCTTCCACATCAACCTTCTTTGATGTCTATATAAAAAGAAAGAGGACACTCGATTCCATAAATTGTCAAATTTTCAGGCTAATCCCTCCAATAGATCAGCTACTAGACTCAAAAGAAGTCTGGTTGGTTAGTCTGGTTGGTTAGTCTGGTTGGTTAGTCTGGTTGGCTAGTCTGGTTGGATAGTCTGATTGGCTAGTCTGATTGGCTAGTCTGGTTGGCTAGTCTGGTTGGCTAGTCTGGTTGGCTAGTCTGGTTGGCTAGTCTGTTTGGCTCGTCTAGTTGGCTAGTCTAGTTGGCTAGTCTAGTTGGCTAGTCTGGTTGGCTAGTCTGGTTGGGTTGAACTTAGTGCGAAGGCTAGCGGCTAAGTCTATTTGGGTTTGGGCTGAATTTTCTGAATCTCTTCTAGATCTCTTCTGGATCTTTTCTTGATCTCTTCTGGATCTTTTCTTGATCTCAGCCATTTCTCGGAGCTAAGCAATGCAATGCTTGCACAGCAATTGCTCTTGCTCTTGTTTAGGCTCAGGCTTAGGCTTAGGCTTAGGCTTATGCTCAGGCTTATGCTCAGACATTATACTTGGTAAACAAGTTGAAAAGAATTCTTGTATGTTATTAAGTTATTAAGCTTATTAAGCTTATTAAGCTTATTAAACTTATTAAACTTATTAAACTTATTAAGCTTATTAAACTTATTAAGCCTAAGCTAAGTTATTAAGTTGAAACACTTAAATGAACGAAATTCTATCTAAAAATCGAAAGCTTAACTAATAGTAAAGAAATTTCATCATACAGTCGTTCACAAGTCTCCTCTTCCCATCTCTGCTTTGATTTTTCCATTTTCAACTCACCCAACCTCACTCGTCTTCATTCTCTTCATTCTATTACCCTTTCAAAGCCTTCACTCTTTCAGTTGGCGCCAAAAAAAAATCGCTTTTGACCGGTGCTCTTTTCTCTGTAACCAGCTCTTTCCCTTTCCTACCATCTGCAGTCAAAAAAAAGATTGAGTCAAAGTCAAATAGTCAAGTGTGCCACTTTTTAGTTAAAGATTTTGTGAATGAGTTGAGTTTTTCTTAGTTAAAAGAGTTTTTGAAGGTCACTTTACCCGTTTCTAAATGTAATGCATTGGATTCTTGTTTAGTTCATTCGATTCCTGTTTAATCCATTGGATTCCTATCTTTAGTTCATTGGATTCCTATCATTGATTCATCGAATTCCTAAACGCTTATCAGTTCATTTGGGCGTTTTTCCTTTTCAAATACCTTTCAAGGTGTGCAACTTGTCATAACAAACACTTTGAAAGAATGTGAAATGATGAAAGAAATCTTTTTCTCTTTTTCATTCAGTTGTCCGTGTATTCGGAAAATCTTTACGTAAAAATCGATTCTATTTCATTTTCAGCTTATCATTTTTGGTTAAGAATCGCATTTTAATGGTGGTTTCAATGAATTGTTTAGAAAATTTCAAGTTTACACCTAAAAAAAAACTTATTTCAAGTAAAAACTTATTTCAAGCAAAAACTGAATTCGAAAATGCATAGAAAGGATTCCGAAAAGGATTTTGGCGCAAAAAAAGAACGCGATACTTTTGCTAGCACTTCAGCTCCCACAGAACCAAAATTTTAGGGGGTGGGACAAATGCGACCTTTTTTTGCTGGAAAAGGCCTTAGGAAAGGTCGTAGAGCTTCAAAAATGTTTTCATAGAAGGGAATCGTATGCGTAGATTCAGAATTTCGACAAATCAGACCTCGCTGACACGTCAAATTTGGACTAAAAGGCAAAAACTGCGGAAAAGCGTTAAGTTGCGTAGTTTTTGCCTTTTAGCTCAAATTTAACGTGTCAGCGAGGTCTGATTTGTCGAAATTCGGAATCTACGCATACGATTCCCTTCTATGAAAACATTTTTGAAGCTCTACGACCTTTCCTAAGGCCTTTTCCAGCAAAAAAAGGTGCGCAAATGTCCAGGTGCGCAAAAAAAGGTCGCATTTTTCCCACCCCCCCGAATTGTACAATTTAACGGTATATTTCCCATTTTTTTTTCATTGTATGAATCATTATCAAATCATTATTGTGGTGAAACCAGTGCAATTTTCGTGATTCTTGGTGAAGCATGTTCTCTTTGTTGTTCTCTTTGCGTGTTTTCCACATTTCCCAAACGGAACGCTTTCTAGGTGTGGTGTGTCGACGCGCGCGGGGGACAGCTGAATACACGTTTTGGGTGAAAGGATGAAGAGAAATGGGGGGAATGAATGGAGGTGGTGCTTGGTTTGCTTTTGCGGGTTTGTGTGTATGTCTGCATGTGGGAGGGGACGTATCGATTTGATCGCGCAATCCTCCCTTTCCTCTTTTACAATCCTTTCCTCTTTTTTTTTTTTTTGCTGTGTCTAATTTGGGCACATCCGTTCAATTACCCGTCCCGATCACCTGTTTTGGCACTTTTTGGTGACTCGAACACCGCATCCGGCGGGCTGTGTCAACGATTTGCCGCTCTTTTCGATGTTTTTTAGGCTTTTTTAGACTTCTGGAGGCTTCTGTAGGCTTCTTTAGACTTCTTTAGACTTCTTTAGACTTCTGTAGACTTCTGTAGACTTCTGTAGACTTCTGTAGACTTCTGTAGACTTCTTTAGACTTCATGTAGGCTTCTTTAGACTTCTGGAGACTTCTGGAGGCTTCTTTAGACTTCTGTGGACTTCTGTAGACTTCTTTAGGCTTCTTTAGGCTTCTTTAGGCTTCTTTAGGCTTCTTTAGGCGTTTTTAGTCACCCTGGCGCTGTTCATTTAGTTTTAAAGCTGAAGTTTACCTTGTCGTATTGTCGTTTATCTTTTTATTGCTGTTAAGGTTGTTTGTAAGCCTTTTTTAAAGCTTGAATTGATATTAGATTAACTTCTTGAAGCTTTAAAGCTAGAGCTACAGCAATTTAAGACTTAAAAGCTGGTGAATACTTATCGTACAACTCTTGCAGCTTTTAAGGCTCAAATTGTTGTACTTCTACATTTTATTAGGCTTTGATTACATCTCCTGCAGCTTTTCAAAGTTTTTAAGCTGTAGTTCTGCTTCTTGTAGTGTTGTTAAGGCTTAAATTGTCGTAGTTCTGTTTCTTGTAGTGTTGCTAAGGCTTAAACTGTCGTAGTTGTAACTCTTGCAGCTTTTCAAGGCTCAAGCTTTGTTGCCAAATTACCTTAACAACACTACAAGAAGCAGAACTACAACTTAAAAGCTTTGAAAAGCTGCAGGAGAGGTAATCAAAGCCTAATAAGATGTAGAAGTACAACAATTTGAGCCTTAAAAGCTGTAAGAGTCTTATACTGTTTTAAGGCTTACATTTTTGTACTTAATTCTTTTTTAAAGCTTAAGTTGATACAGAATCACTTGTAGATTTTAAAGCTTAAATTATTATAGCTTTTCGAAGCTTTTTATTATTATAGCTCTACACTTATAGCTTTTCGAAGCTCTTAAATTGCTACTCATTGTGCTCATTGATCTACCCATTCTAGTGTTTGAACCTTATTATCGGTCTTGAAAGTAAATTTTGTAAACCTCTATGCCTTTTGTAGGTTTTCAGGGCCTTGTATCACTTTTTTAGTCAAAAACCCTTGCTAAACACGTTAGTAGAATCGTTAAAGCTTCATTTTAGCATTTTACGAGCTACTTAGCGATTACTCTAATGTTTATGACCCGTTTGCCGCGCTGTTTCACCAAAAATGTCCAACTAAGATCATTTTTTATCTAAAAACAGCTTAAACGATTAATTTTCTTATTGCATTTTGGTCAGATTTTCTTTATTTTCATTCTTTTCTTCATTTTACTTAAATTTCGTTTTTATTTCAGAGATTCACCTTCGACTCCAACAAAAACGGCTCATATTTACGAGACGAACCTTGGGATGGCCGACGATTATCAATTGCAATCGAATGGAAACGGGGAATTTGTGAAGAAACCGCTGCTGGAGCTTTATGTAAAGGTGGGTTTTTCTGTTTTGGCTTTTGTTTGCCATAGCGGTAAAAAGGTTTAATCATTGATAAGATAAAGGAATGTGATTGGAAGAAGGATGGTTGGATTGGAAGAAAATATTTGGAGCTAAAAAATGAGCCTTGATGTTAAAATCAAGCCTGATTTTGTCAACTAAACCAAAGTTTCTTGATTGAAAAGGACACTAAATGCTAAAATTGTGTGCAGATTGAATTAGCAGGTTAATCCTAGCTGAATATTTGTTAATATTAAGCAATGATGTCATTATTTGAACATAGAAAAGCATAATTTGAGTATGATTCAAAATAAAGCCAGCTGTTTTGGTAAAATGAAGGTGGAATGAGTAGGAAAGCACTTTTTTGGGGGGCAAAAAGCTGTTTTTAGATCAAGTTAGCAAGCAAATTGCCATCAGAATGAAGTGGATCGATTTATAATTCCTATTTTAGGCTAGTGGAATCGACAGTCGACGTATTGGTGCCTGCTTGTTTTGCCAAGAGTTCTGGATGGAGCTTTACGCCCTGTACGAGATTGGAGTGGCTCGTGTTGAGGTTTTTGATCAAATTTAACACTAAATACGACTGAATTTAGGTGAAAACGGTCAACGTGAACTCGGAAGCGTTCAAGAAAAATTTTCTCGGCGCACAGCCTCCAATCATGGTTGAAGAAGAAAAGTTTCTTGATTGGAGTTTTTGTTTTAATGCCTTGATTTAGACAAATGCAATACACGGATAATCGCGAGATCGAGGGACGCATCTTCCATTTGGCCAAAGAGTTTCGTGTACCGCTTTTTGAGAAGGATCCGGTTGTTGAGAAGTGCATCGAGAGCCTCTATAGAGTAGGTTTTGGATTGAAGTTGTTTCAAAATTAATGTTTGAGATTAGAAAAGGCAGTATTTGAAACTTTTTTTTTAAGTTTTGAGACGGAATTTGTTTTAAAGAAAGGTTTGAGTGCAAGTTTGACCTTTTCATGAGAATTTTTTATTTCACAATGGTTTAAGTGATTGTTAGATCTAAGATTGGACTTATTAAGTCAAAGTACGAGCTTCTGACCTAGTCTATATTATTAACAACGTCTTTTTTCAACGTTAGTACGTTTTCAGAACTTCAAACTCTTCTTGCGTGCCAAGACTGAACTCGACAAGGGTAAACGTGAACCGACCCCAATCGAAGCAATGCCCGCACAAATCAAGACACACCACAATCGAGTTGTTGAGCAGCTTGCCGGCATTGATGAGGTATTATTTTGCTATGGGGAAACTTTAATAAAATGAGAACGCAAGCTGAAACGTCGAACAATAAGCCAATAGGCGTTTAAAATTCTACAATGAATCAATCTGACTCTTTTCAGCTTTTGCAAGAACGCGCTTCGCGATATTTGCTCGGCGAGAGCATGACGGAGTACGACTGCGAGTTGATGCCACGTCTTCATCACATGCGCATCGTTGGGCAAAGGTATTATTCGCTTTGTACAGACTGCTATAGTAGTTTTGGGAGGCAAATTTTTTTCGCTAAGTAAATTGCTTTTTTGCAACCAGGGGTTTTTGACTATGCTGAATCGATTGGTGATGGTCTCACGCAACATTTCACAACTTGTAACAACATTCAAGACTACTTACAGTGAACCACAGCCAAAACTTTACGAACCCTGTCACAGGGGTTCATACTCAAGCAATTGAGAGTGTGTGGAGTCAGCTGAAAAGACCAGTCAGAATGAGAAGCGGTATCAAGGGAGAACTCTGGCATGACCATTACTTTGACGTGCCTTGGTAGTGGCAACACAATACTGAAAACCTAATGTACTTATTCTGGATAAAATGGCCGAAAACTACCCATTGTCTTGAGTCTGTCCTCGTTGGGAGCCTGTTGACATTTTGCTGTTGTTATTTTTGCTGCTATTTTTTATAAACGTTAACATTGCGTAGACCATCGCCAATCGATTCAGCAGAGTCAATAACCCCTGGGTGCAAAAAAGTTAGTTCAGTTGGCGAAAAAAATCCCTCAACTACTATAGCACCCAGACCAGCTTCAACTGCAAGCGAATAATACGCTTGAGAAGTGCTACTAGATTGAACTAGTAATTAGCTTTGTTTGTTTTAAAATTCAATTTTAGACTTCTTGGCTTCGACATTCCACACAATTTGACTTATTTGTGGAACTACGTTCTTACCGCCTATCGCACGGCCGCCTTCATTGAGAGTTGTCCAGCTGATCAGGACATAACTTATTTATACAAGGTAAGGAACAGTTTGATGCTAAAAACTAATTCATTTAGTATTGTAGCGGAATATAGCGGTATTTTTGCTTATTTTTTTGCACCATTAGCACCAAACTTTAAACCAACTTATCACTTTGTTTTAGGAACAGCTGAACTTGTTCACGAATCAACGCGAGACTCTGCAGGCTCCGACGAAGACGCACACATTGCCCGAGGAGGTTCTAAACGATATTCGTCGTCTCGGTCTTGATCAGAAGTAGGCTGTATAGGTCTGTAAACGTGTCTTTTTGAGCCCATTCCATTAAATTATCTAAAAGATCAATAGTCTCATTATTGTCATTCCTAAAGGGAGAAAGATTGCGTGGTTTTTTTGGCTTTCAATTGTTGTACTTGTACATCAAAGGTATTAATTTAAATCACTCAATCTTTCACTTTTTCCACCAATTCATTCCCTCTTTCGCTGCAGTCCATATCAGTGCCACGATCCCGATTATTCGCTTATCTTTTCTCAAATGGGATAACCGTAGGATTTTTAATCGAAACCTAATCCTTTAAAAGATTTGTCTTAGAAAAACTACGGTATATTCTCTCATCGTTTTTCACTGATTTCTTGTGCCTCCTTTGCTTTGAGGTATCATATATCTCTCTTTTTGGTTCACTTGTATGGTTTGAAAGCCAATTCTTTTGGTAGTTGTGCCTTGTCTGTTTGGGTGTAATGCGTGGATTTGATCGATCTTTAAGTCTAGAGGAATTTCCACCGATTTCTTCATTATTAATACCAGAATCGATCAATTCTGCCCATTTTCCACTCAGCGTTCAGTATTTTTGCTTCCACAATATCCCCAGAAATTCTTTGACCTCAGCACAAATGTAAATCTAGGAATTCCCTCTCTCAAATCGATATTCTTCTTTTTATCAACGAACAACAATGTGTGTCCGGTTTTAATCTTCCTTTTCCCGTCAAAATCATTATGTTCTTCTTTTTTCGTGTTGTTGATCAACTTATTTCTTTCTTGCCATTTGTGTGCCGTGTTTATCGTTTTATTGTTTCTTCTCTCTCGTTTTCAGATAGAACCTGTCTCTCGATTTTTATATCATATCTCCGGCTCATAAATCTTGTTGCTAGTTGGGTTTTTTTGAAAAGCACTACATTTTGGGAAGGCATTTTATTGTTTTACAGGATGGCAGGTCTGCCAGAATGCTAGGGTTACCGTAAACCCCAGTATTGTCGTGTAGGCGTTACTTTGAATCCTCCATTCTCTACCAATTTTTGCTTCAATTCGATAAACGATTGACATCTAGAGTTTTTTGGCACCAAGAGCCGGAAAAAAAACTTTGAAAAAGTGGATAGACTATGCGACAATACGATGGTTTTCGATCATAATATTACGGTAAACTTGATAAAATTGTGCAGTTTGGCATAGATGAAGTATATTTTCTGAACACAGCACCGCTTTCCTATTGATATCACCGTTTATAAACGACACTCGATTGGATTGCATATAAACAAACCGGGGGGAGTGATTGAGGGAACGAAGGGGACAAAGGGAAATGGAACGAAGGGGACAAAATGAATCCATTTCAAATGCTTTTCAGAATATTGATCTTAATTCTAACTATTCAAATTGTTTTTGTGAATCCATTGACAACAGAGGTAAAATTTGGAGAGTGAATACAAAATTTTGTTTTTTTTTTTCACTTTAGCGAATAAAATAGCCTTTGTTTGATACAATTTTTTCGATTTCATTATCCGATTTCATTTAGATCTTTTTGGATCATTAGATCTTTTAGATCTTTTAGATCATTTAGATCTTTCTGGATTAATTACTCAATTTATAGGATGAAGAAGAAACAGTGGGAATCGTTTCATCTGACGAGGAAGATGAACCAGAAAAGTTACGATACGATGACCAATTGAGTAAGTGATTAAAATTTTGAGATACTCGATAAGATTCTATGTAAATCGGCAACGTGTTTTATGCTTTTTTTTCTTTTTTCGTTACTAAATGTGAATGTAGATTAATATCGAAAGAATTTTAAGATCATTTGAATGCTGTAGGATTTTTTTTTGTCTTTAGTTTTTGTTTGTTTTTTGTCTTTTTAGAAAAAGAACAAAACATGTATCACACTGCTGTGACGAATCTTGAGAAGATGTTGTTGCAAAGAGGCGGCGTTTATCGAGTACCGTGGAAAAGTCCCAAAGAACAAGTGATGGTATGGTAGTCCGGGAAATGGGACACTTTTTTAGATAAATATAATAGGTTGATGCATAAGTGTTTTCGTTCCTTTTCGTCTGCCGTTTCAAGCCAACAAATGCACCAATTAAACTACGGTTGATTTCATTAGAAAAAGCAATTATTTTTGTGCAAAATAACATTAAGTTGTTGATCTAGTTGTTGATCTGGTTCTTCATCTAGTTGTTAATCTAGTTCTTCATCTAGTTCATCTAGTTCTCCATCTAGTTCTCCATCTAGTTCATCTAGTTCTCCATCTAGTTCTTCATCTAGTTCATCTAGTTCTCCATCTAGTTCTTCATCTAGTTCATCTAGTTCTTCATCAAATTCTTCATCTAGTTCTCCAGCTAGTTCTTCATCTAGTTCATCTAGTTCCTCATCTAGTTCATCTAATAGGTTGATGCATAAGTGTTTTTGTTCCTTTTCGTCTGCCGTTTCAAGCCAACAAATGCACGAATTAAACTACGGTTGATTTCATTAGAAAAAGCAATTATTTTTCTGCAAAATAACATTAAAACGGGTTTAAAAATATTTAATGCCTGGATTTTCTTGAGAGTATGAAGTCGGGTAGTCAAAAAGGGCTAACTCGATGATGCGCTTTAGACACCTTAGCTAAAGAAAACCTATCTTCGTGTCAATAGATAAAAGATAGAGAAAAAAAACGTTTGATATTTCGCGAAAATTTCAGAGAAATTCATTCAGCCAATTTTTCCGTAGAGTTTTTAGAGATTTTTACGAAAAAGGCGTTTTTCACTCTCGAATTTGCTTGAAAGTGAACCGAAATTCATTTAAAAAGATGCAAATTGAACAAAAAAACACTTTTTTTTTCATAGAGCAAACTATAGATTCATTGGTGAATTTGTTACTTTTTAACAGAAGTACGAAAAAAATGAAAAAGACTTATGCATCAACCTAATAGATAAATAAACCGTGTTTTTTTTCGAATAGAACACCGGGTAAAGAGTATCATCGCGTACTCCTGCGTGGCAGCCCTTTTTACAAATTTCTTTTCTGCATAAAAGCTTTCAATGAAGTGCTATAGGGCTGGAAAATGACTCAAAAATATCACATGAGCTAACAGATTTTTGAGCCAGCTCTATAGCACTTTCCAGCTCTATAGCACTTCATTGAAAGCTTTTATGTAGAAAAGAAATTTGTAAAAAGGGCTGCTACGCAGGAGTACGCGATGATAAAGAGTATCATCGCGTACTCCTGTGTAGCAGCCCTTTTACCCGGTCTTCTATTCGAAGAAATACGGTAGATAATCTTTAAGATTAAGGTTTTCTAGATAATCTTCTTCCTGCACAATGTCAATCACATATCCTTCAATCAAACCGATCAAACGATGCTTGTGACTGGGAGGATTTGCATGGTGGGAAAGTACCGCGCTCGAGACTAGACTAGAGATGGGAAAATTTCAACTCGGACCTAATTCCAACTTTCTCAGCTGTTTCTTGACCGATTGTTTCTGAAATTTTGTTTACAAGCACGTGTGGCTGACTGGTTAAGTGTCTTTTATCTTAATCGGAAGGTCGAGGGTTCGAACCCCACATGCGACATGGTCACCCCCTTCGGATTTTCTTTCCCTTCGGGTTGAGAGGTTTTCTGGAGGGCAATCTGGTGGTTGTGGCCCCAGTTCTTTAAAGTGACAAGCCACTCCTTCATCGTCATCTTCCCTTCACCACCAAAAAAGCTATTTAGTTCCCCATTGAGCTTAGGGTTAGGGAGCCGTCTGTCATGACGTGGGTTAAGTTAAGATATAGCCTAGTATTGTGTGTGTCGTTGTATTGTGATTGATATATTTCGTGTATGCGAAAAATTCACCACTGGTAGCCCCAGTCGGTATTTTTTTTTTTTTAAAATAGAAATTTGGCATTCTCTGCTTGTAGACGAAATTTTAGAGTAATCGGTCAAGAGACGACTAAGAAAACGAAAGTGGAATTAGATTCGGGTTGGAATTTTCCCATTTCGAGACTTTACTGGAATTTTGCTTTACTGTAAACACTTTAATTCAGATGTGGCACGATCCAAACTACTATTGGGATCCATTGAAATACGATGGAGTGACGGTGAGTTGTTTTCGTTTCAATTACTCAAATCTAGTCAATCTTTTTAGCATCTCTCCCTGCACCGGTGGAACGTTTGGAGTCCGAATCTGGAGGTGTTCAATGGGTAAGCTGCGGAAAGTTGAAAAGCTTTTCTTGAGATCGAGCTATTCTTGAGAATAAGCAATGTTAAATCTTGATTTTTTAATTTCCAGAGTTGATGGCCTTGCCGGGATCTGGGCTTTCACGAAAAGTGGTGTGAAATTGTTTCTGGATTCAGCGAACAATGTGGGTTAAAAATTTTTGGCTTTAAGCTTTAGGCTTTAGGCTTTGGGCTTTAGGCTTTAGGATTTAGGACTTGGGCTTTAGGCTTTAGGCTTTAGGCTTTAGGATTTAGGCTTTAGGCTTTGGGCTTTAGGCTATAGCCTTTGGGCTTTAGGCTATAGGCTTTAGGCTTTAGGCTTTAGCCTTTAGGCTTTAGGCTTTAGGCTATAGGCTTTGGGCTTTAGGCTTTAGGTTTTAAGCTTTAAACTTTAGGCTTCTTTAGGCTTTAACAGCCATTTTCACGAGATTGCGTAAGCCAATCAAGTCCAAACTTGGTGTCATTGGAAAGCTTCAAGTTTACTCTACAAAGTTATGCGTAAAGCCTAAAGCCTAAAGCCTAAAGTTTAGAATAAAATAATCCTCTAGACAAAGTTATGGATCTTTAAAACGGGAAAACTCGTTCAAGATGTCAGGATTGTGGTCAAGAGTGAATTTTCAGCGAAGCATCATCCTCTCATGTCCATCTTTCAATTTCAAAGTCGGTTGTGAGATTGATGCGTCGAGTTTCCCACATGATTCACACGTTTGCCGTTTTCCGATCACGGATTTGAGGAATAATGAGTGGGGCAAAATACCCTTGATAGGATGAATATCTTTTAAAAAAGACACTTACAATAATCTGAATATCATAATACTACAGTAGCACACCCTTGTTTCGAATTCGTTCTCTAAAACGTGGCAACTTTCATGACCACCGTGATCCTAGCGTTTCAAATTTTGAAGTTCCTTTCTAGTTTTCCTTTCTAGTTTTCTTTTCTAGTTTTCCTTTCCAGAAATATCGACCTCACCAACACGTTCACCGAGGAGATCAAGACGAACTTTGGTGAGTTTGATTGATGTACTTTATTGATCGATGTACTTTATTGAATTTGAATTTGAATTTGATTTGAATTTGATTTGAATTTGATTTGATTTGATTTGAATTTGATTTGAATTCGATTTGAATTCAAATTCAAATTCAAATTCAATAAAGTACATTAGAATTTTTAAGAATTTTCTCATTTGTGTTCTTTTACCGTAGAAAAATATTCAGTTTATGCGATCACCCGAAAAAATGACACGAAGCCGAATGTGGCCGATTTTTACGTGGAGAAGATTACTTCGAGAATCGTCTACTTTGTGGGTTTAAAGACTTTTGATACTAATATTTTCTTTTTCAGAATGATGAAACAAATGAATATGTGTCGAAAAGGAACAAATCGACTGATATGTGAGTGTTTTAGAGCTGTTAAAGCTGTGAAAGCTGTTAGTGCTGTTAGTGCTGTACTGTTAGTACTGTTAGTGCTGTTAGTGCTGTACTGTTAGTGCTATACTGTTAGTGCTGTACTGTTAGTGCTATACTGTTAGTGCTGTACTGTTAGTGCTATACTGTTAGTGCTGTACTGTTAGTGCTGTTCTGTTAGTGCCGTTAGTGCTGTACTGCTAGTGCTGTACTGCTAGTGCTGTACTGTTAGTGCTGTACTGTTAGTGCTGTGAGTACTGTTAATGCTGTTAAAGCTGTGAATACTGTTAGTGCTGTACTGCTAGTGCTGTTAGTGCTGTTAGTGCTGTACTGTTAGTGCTGTGAGTACTGTTAATGCTGTTAAAGCTGTGAGTACTGTTAGTGCTGTACTGTTAGTGCTATACTGTTAGTGCTGTACTGTTAGTGCTGTACTGTTAGTGCTTGATTTCTAGGGTTGTCGCTCTGAATGAGGTTCACTTCACGAGATATGCTCCGTATTTCTTCCACACACTCGTCTTGCCGTCAATCGTTTTTGGTCGGTTACTAAATGGCAGTAAAACCTATCGTAACCTCTTCAAATAGAGAAATCTTCAAATAGTTGTGCTTTAATGAATTCAAAAGATCTTGAAAAGATCAGATCAAAATCCATATTTTTTGAGCTATAGATCATGTAAATCCGGGAGATTTGAAGTGAATTAGAAGCGCTTTGACTGTGAGAGTTCGTCATTTTTGTAGTTTATAGTTCTGACCTTGGCCTTAGCCAGATCTTAGCCAGCTCTCGGAAAAGTCTCTGGAAAAAAGCCTGTTAAGATAAAGTAGTGCCGGTCTTAGGTAGTGCTTAGGATTAGGCAAGGCTAGAAGCCAATAGCTGACAAGATTTCAATGAAGAATTTCCAATGGGCATGGACATTGGAACTTGGTAAAAGAGTTGGTGACGAAGAAGAGTTTAGAGTTAGAAGAGATTTAGAAGATTTAGAAGATTTAGAAGAGATTTAGAAGGTTTAGAAGGTTTAGAAGAGCTTATTCCCATATTTTCAGGTCTAATCTCGGCTTTCGCTCCGTTGATGCCATTCCTGCAGGTGAGCTGGGGGAATTTTGGTCTTTTTTACGTGATTTTTCCAGGCTTCAACACTTTTATTGATGAATTTCGTGCTTTTGGGTGTCTACATGAGAGATTTGATCGACGAGTTGCCCATTCATTTCGACAGTTTACCGAGAATAAGTGGGTTTTTTTTTGGATTGGATTTTGAAGGGTTCTTTAGCTTTCTCGTAAAAGCACAAAGTACACCACTAAACGGCGAAGACTTGCTAGTACAGTACTAAAAATTGGCCAAAGTACGTAAATTGGACTCCAACGTACGCTGTGACATCCAGAATGAGCAATAGCGTTGAAATTTTGGTCCTTTTTACGGGAGAGGACAAAGGACACCTCTGAACAGCCAAAGGTCAAAGTACAGTACTAAAAAGTCAGTCAAGGTACGTAAATTGGACTCCAACGTACGCTGTGACATCCAGAATGAGCAATAGCGTTGAAATTTTGGTCCTTTTTACGGGAGAGGACAAAGGACACCTCTGAACAGCCAAAGGTCAAAGTACAGTACTAAAAAGTCAGTCAAAGGACGTAAATTGGATGCTAGAGTATGCTGTGATATCCAGAATGAGCAATACTTTTGAAATTTTGATACTTTTTACGGGAAAGGACAAAGAACATCTCTGAACAGCCAAAGGTCAAAGTACAGTACTAAAAAGTCAGTCAAAGGACGTAAATTGAACTTCAACGTACGCTGTGACATCCAGAATGAGCAATGCCTTTAAAATTTTGGTACTTTTTAATGGAAATGATCAGTTAAAATCTTTCACATTGATATCGATGATATTTCATCGGGTTTTTTTGAGGGTACTTTCTCCTGTAAACTTTACTCCTGTAAACGCATGCTATCTGGTGCACTAATTTTCGATTTTCAGTGATCTATTGGCTGCTTCAATTGTCGATTTCATTTCTTCAATTGGCACGAATTTTTCTCGCGGAAAGGGCTCGAATTGAACGTAAAGAAAGGGTCATCTGGAGGACTTTAAATGGTAATTGTTTTGAAAGTTTAAAAGTTTAAAAGTTTAAAAGTTTAAAAGTTTAAAAGTTTAAAAGTTTAAAAGTTTAAAAGTTTAAAACTACTTCAATTATAGAATGGAATCAACTGCCGTTAAATGAAAAATTGCTAAATTTCGATTTGTTTTTCATTTTTTTGTCATTTTTATCAATTTTTATATTGTTATGGTGAAAAGGAGAGAAAAGTTTCATTTTTTCATTTTTTTTTTTTTCATTTTTATTTCTTTCATTTTCCATAGTACATCAGTGGCTGTGTGGGCTGAAATGGAAATTTAGAAAGAAAGAAAGAAAGAAAGAAAGAAAGAAAGAAATCCTACCTGATAGCGGAAAGAAATCCTACCTGATAACGATTCAGTTGCGATGAGTACTGTTGAGGTGAGTAGGTTTGGGGTAAAGACTGGAAAAGGAAGAGGATCTTCTTGTTCGTTGAATGGTTTTAAATGAGTTTTTGATCCTTTGACAAAGCTCATAACTTTGTCTAGAGAGAATTTGATATTTAGTTTTCTAGATAACTTCAAAGAGGACAATTCAGGCTCTCAAATGAGACCAAATTGCGCTTTGATTGGGTTATCGAAGCCGGAGAAAATCGAGAGACAAAACGAGCGATGAGATGAGAAAGCTGTTCAACTGTTCAATAGCTTTTTTACCTGTTGCACTCGTTGCCCGCCAGTTGTCAATCGTTGATACTCAGCCAGTGCAACGGCTCGCAATTGTTGTTGATAAGCGAGCTGGCGTTGAGCCTAAAGAATTGGGTTCGTAAGAAAATAGCTAGAAGAAAATAGCTAGCTAGCTAGAATAATTTGATCCAAGATTTTTCAGTACCTGTGCCAATTGAACGGCTTGGAGTTGAGCGGTGTCTTGGACGCTTGGAGCTCTCTGTTGTGGCTGACTTGAGGCAATGGGCAGTGTCTAAAGTTGGCTATGAGCTAGTCTTTAGATCTATAAGCTGGCATTAGCCAAAGCCAAAGCCTAGCCAAGCCTAGCCAAGCCTAGCCTAGCCAAGCCTAGCCAAGGCCAAAGCCTAGCCAAGCCTAGCCAAGCCTAGCCAAGCCTAGCCTAGCCAAGCCTAGCCAAGGCCAAAGCCTAGCCAAGCCTAGCCAAGCCTAGCCAAGCCTAGCCAAGCCTAGCCAAGCCTAGCCAAGCCTAGCCAAGCCTAGCCAAAGCCAAAGCCCTAAACCTCACCGATCTTCTCGCGATCACATTTCGATAGTTCTCGGTTTTCACATTCAAATTGCCAGGGCTGGGGAAATTGTAGAATTGCTGGGATGGGGGTTGAGATTGACCATATTCTTGGCCGAATCTCGACTGAGCTTCGGTACCCTCTCGCAAACGGGCGTCAAGCAAAGCTCTGAAAGAATTCGAGACTCGAGAAGAGCTCGATTCAATTACCCAACTCTTTTTAAGCGCTGATCAGGTTTCGAAGTGATCTCTGATCAGGTTTTTGGGTTCAATTACCCGATTCGTTTTTTCAAATCGTTTCTATCAATCTGTCAATCTATCTGTCTATCTATCTGTCAATCAAGCCAGCTTCACCTCAACTTTCCCTGCGTTTTCCTTTGCAGATCCTTTTGCAGTTCGACGAACTTTTTCATGTCATTCGTCGTCGTTTCCGGGTTTTGTGTCGTCGGCTGAAAAGTTCAGCATATCGACATTGTCATACACTGTACCCTAGGTTTAAGTAGCTTTCCTTTCAAGTGCCTTACTCTAGCTTCGACTTAGAAGCCAATCTGGATGTCACGCTATAAGTTCTCCACATTTTTATTCAATTTTAGTGATTTCAAAATTTTCAGCTTGTCTCTGACAAGAGGACTAGGGAAAGATTAGATTTTGAAACCAGGATTTCGAAACCCATCCCACAAACTGTACAGTACAGTGCACCAGAGAGAATGCGTTTATGTGGGAGCACAAAATAGATAGCTAAGAGTTGTCCTCCACCTGTGCTTCCTCTTTTTCCATTTCCACTAACTCCTCTTCTCCGTATCTTTCCTCGCTTTTCTCTTCATTCGATTCGGTTTCAGTTTCAGTTTCTTCGACTTGTGTACAACCACAATAATTCGCGTCACGCCCCGGCAACCCTGGAGGACCGGGCTAAAAAGAAAAGTTTGATATTTGACAAGAAACCAGAGCTACACTCAGAGCATCAATTCTACAAGCAAATCTCGTGTCCTAGGAAAGTACAGTACAGTACAGTACAGTACAGTAAACTACAGTACAGTAAAGTACAGTGCTACCAGGAGCCCAGCTTGGCTTAGAGTCATTTGAGGCTGTACTCTGGCTGTGTACAGAACTGACATATCCCGGTTCTCCCTTGACTCCATCGATTCCTGGAGCTCCTTTTGGTCCAGGTGCCCCCGGCGGTCCAGACTGACCAGGGTAAGCCGGGAAACCCTTTGCACCTAAATAATGTATACATTTTCGATATAAATATCATCGATACGAATATCGAAGCTTTAAATGACTGTTTACAAGGGAAAAGTACCAAAATTTCAAAAGTATTGCTCATTCTGGATGTCACAGCATACTTTAGGATCCAATTTATGTACCTTGACTGACTTTTTAGTACTGTACTTTGATCTTTGGCTGTTCAGAGGTGTAGTTTGTGCTCGCTCGTAAAAAGGACCAAAATTTCAAAAGTATTGCTCATTCTGGATGTCACAGCGTACGTTGGAGTCCAATTTACGGTGGAAAAGTCGATGGAATGTTTCACTAACCTTTAGGTCCAGGCGATCCCTTGCTTCCCGGTTCTCCCTTTAGTCCGATTTGTCCGACTCTTTGCAATGCGTGTTCACCGGGTTGCCCAGGTTCCCCTGGCTGACCTGGGGGTCCCGGGACTCCGGCATCTCCAGTGGGACCTGGCTCTCCAATGTCTCCGTCTTTTCCAGACTAAAGACAGAATACAGAAACTCTAGATTACGGTAGCTGGCAGAATACTGTAGTAACAGTAGTCTGGAATGTAGCTACAGTAATCTGTAGCTACAGTATTCCAGCTTACGGCTTTAGCCTACCATTCCAATGACTCCCGGCGGTCCACTCGGTCCATCTTTTCCCTTTAAACCGTCATCTCCTGGGAGTCCCTGGGGTCCTGAAAGCTTAGGGATAATATCAGATGAGGAAGAATGGATCTAAATAGGAGAGTACCTGGTGGACACTGGATACAATCAAGCGGTGGACGGCCGGATCTTACGGATGGAGGACCGTCATGGCCTGGAGTCCCTGCGGGGCCATCATAGCCTAGAATCGAGGATTGGTGTCTGATCTGGTTTAGAAATAGCTTTGTATGCAATGCCATTATGCAATGCCATATGCTTATTGTCTGAATATATTCTGCTTCCTTCATTTTGTCGATATTGAATTGGATTTTCAATGAAAACTAACCAACTTTGCTATCAAAACTCCTTGGCGACATAACTCTTGTTCTAGAAGAGTAAGATAATCTAATACTTTAGCTAGATCTAAATTGGATATCACGTTAAACTTTGGGTTACTCGAAATAGCCATACGGGCTCTTTGAAGTCAAGCACTTTTTGAGCAAAACTTCTCGCCCGTGTAACTCTTGTTCTACAAGAGTAAGACAATCTAATACTTTAGCCAGATCTAAGTTGGATGTCACAATATACTTTGGGTTACTCGAAATAGGAATGCTGGATCAAGGACCTGGGCTGGTCTGGTCTCTGGATCTAGCTATGGACCTGGGCTGGTCCTGGCTCTGCCATGGATTGGACCCTTCCATTCCTCCCTATCCAACCCACCATCAATTCCCCGATCTCCAGGGATTCCATCAGGTCCAGGCGGTCCTTTTGGACATCTCGATCGATCACAATTCTTGCATTTTCTCGAATTTGGCGCGATTGGATATGTGTCTCTTTGAATTCTCGCTGAAGGCTCAGCTCTTGATTTGATGGAAACGATCTCGCGAATTGATGCAAATGTGGCTCTGGATTTGATCTGGAAATTGATTTGTTGATTTGTATTAAGGTTTCGACAGTGAGCGGACTCGAACCAGCACCCTCAGACTCACAGCCAAGCCCACTAACCACTAGACCACAAAAACTTTTGCTTATTCTAGAGAACTAAAAGTTTAGAAAGATTTTGTGACATCCAGCTTGTATGAAAAGCGTTTTAGTTTCACTCAATTTCCTTTAGTTTCTCTTAAAATTGCGCGAACTGAGAATGGACGAAAAATAAGCTGAAAAAGGGGAAATTAAAGATAAAGAAAATGCTATTCATAAATCCTGGAATGCACAGAATATTTAGTAATTATTAGCACCTTAAAATGGGCAAGTTTTTTGATGGCGCAGTGGGTAAAGCAAAGATTTTTCAGGCGGAGGGTCGCTGGTTCGAGTCCGGTCACCGCCAAAAGTTTGCTTTTTTTGGAGAAAAAACGGTTTAGATAGATTCTGTGACATCCAGCTTGAATGAAAAACGTTTTAGTTTCACTCAATTCTCTTTTCGTTTCTCTTAAAACCGCAAGAACTGCTTTTTTTTGGAGAAAACGGTAAAATTTTGTTTTAAATCGGTAAAATTTTGGTTTTAAATCAGCAAAACCATTCTAATTCACCTCAAAATCCAAGTAATCATTGTGAATCTCGTTTTTTGCCGTGAGTAAATCAGTGAAAAGGGAATAGAAAGTGAAAATCGCTGAAAAGATGCCAAAAATTGAGAGGAATGTTGCGATTTTCAAGTAATTGAAATACATAGCTGAATTTGTTAGCTGAATATCTTGAAAGTGTAAGGGAATGGAATTGGAAATGGAATTGGCAAGAGGAAAGAGGAAATCTTTCGTTTTCACTTTTCTAATCACCGCCTCAGTTTTTACTCGATTTTCTCCGCGATTTCTCTGTGAAATGACAGCCGAATGGACGTTTTTGTAAACGCATTTCCTCTAGCACACTCAGATTTCGAATTCTTATAGAAATTTGAGCGATATAGCGATAAAAAAAGCTTAATTTTTAAGCTGACAAAAAAGCTGACAAGTTCCGTCTCCAACGTCGTCGACGTCAACAGTGGCGATACGCTGCAGCTCTTCCCACGCTTTTAACAGTGATTCTTTCGTTTTCGATGGAACAAGCTTTGACTTCTAGAACCGATCACACGGGAAAATCCATTGGGCTGAGATCTAGAGAACTCAGAAAAAGATCCATCTCCAATTGATTGTTCTCGACTTTCCTTTACTTTAGCCCCCTGTAACTTCTGTAATTTTCTTGCAAATACGACAATGTTACAGTAACTCAAAAATGACGTACAGTCGACTCTCTCTACAACGAAAAGCGGTTCTTTTACAATATCGGGGGAGCGAAAGGAAAATCGGGCGAGCAAATTTTGCCCCCTCGAAAAATGCATTTCCGGGACTGTATTTTAACTGCAACGTTTTTTTTAAAACTTTAACGACGATGCGCTTCTCCGATATTTGTGCGTTCAAGGAATCGACGGCAATCGATTATTTCGTCACCAAAGGAGTCATCCAGTCGTGGATTTGCAACTGTGGCGAATCGAAAGTCCGCTCAAAGGGAAAAGTTCTATTTCGCTGGGTATGTGACACTTGTGCACGGCGAAAGGTCCCCAAGCATTCAAGAGGAATTCGAGTCGATAACTTTTTGCAACAAAGCAAGCTCCCGTTCGTCACAATTTTAAATAGGACATATGTAGCGCTGCCAAAATTTGCTCCCCCGATTTTCCTTTCGCTCCCCCGATAATCCTTCCGCTCCCCCGATATTGGAAAAGAACCCGAAAAGCTTTAGATAACGGCATTCTATAACAGCACTCTATAATGGAATGGAATTTTGATCCCAGCTGACGCTAAGCTATACTCTCTCTACAACGAAAAGCTTTAGATAACAGCATTCTATAACGGAATTCTATAACGGCAATCTATAACCGAATGGAATTTTGATCCCAGCTGACGCTGAGCTATACAGGGTGACTCGCATAAAACAATAATTTCAATTAAAAACCAATAATAATTCAATTAAAAACAGTTAAAGAATAAGAAAATTCAATTAAAAACAATTAAAAACAATTAAAAACAATTAAAAACAATTAAACAATAAGCTGACAAAAAAAAATGATTTGAAAATGAAAAAGAAACGACGACGCGACGCTCCCATCGACTACCTCCAACTGGCGGCGACGTCAATTGGAATGCGACGTCGCGCGAAAATAGCATTTCAAATTTGCGACGGAAATTCAAATTTAACATGAAAGCGTCTCTAAATCATTCTCTAAGCATCATTCTCTATTATTCTGTTATAAAGAGAGTCGACTGTACGTCGGTTTATCTCTACAACGAAAAGCTCTAACCATAATTCTCTCAACAAGATAAAGCTCTGATTTTAAGAAAAAAAAGACAAATTTTGAACTAAATCACATTTATTGTACATTAACAATTATAAATGAACTATTAAATTTGGTTCCTATTTGGTTACTTTATAGTTCCTTTATAGTTTCTATTTAGTTCCTATCTAGGTCCTATTTAAGTTCTATTTAGTGACTTTATCGTCCCTATTTAGTTCCTATCTAGTTCCTATTTAGTTCCTTTATAGTTCCTATTTAAATTCGACTATCACTAGCATTTCAGCAGGCTTACAGGCGTTTCGAGAAAGCGTCGACGTCAACAGTGACGTCGTCGACGTCAACAGTGACGTCGTCAACGTCAACAGTGGCGATAGCCTGCAGCTCTTCTCACGCTTTCAACAGTGATTCTTTCGTTTTCGATGGAACAAGCTTTGACTTCTAGAACCGATCACACGGGAAAATCCATTGGGCTGAGATCTAGAGAAATCAGAAAAAGAAATGAAGTCCGGGAAGTTGTTTTGACAGAACTCTTGACTTTTCTTGGATTTGTGGGCCTGCACCATCTTGCTGATAAGTTCAATTACGAAAATTTAAGTCTTTTGGATGATTTTCTGAAAGAAACATGGAAACTAAAGGAAAAATGGAGGAAAACAGAAAACAACTGCTATTCTTGAAAAGAAAGGGAAAGAAAGAGAAGGAAAAGGAAAGAAAGAGAAAGAAAGAGAAAGAAAGGAGAAAGAAGACTCTTGCGAAAGATTGATCCAGGGATTGTGCTTAGGAAAAGAAAGAGTTGGGTTTTTATCAATGGAAAAGAGGCTGAGGCAGATGGAAGAGAGGCAGATCTTAGCCCCATCCCAATTGTAAGATCAGCATGAGCAGATTCGCTAGTTATTTTCGTTCTTGACTCATTGATCGACTCCCTAACAGCTCTGTTTCAAGATCCCCAGCTCTAACAGCTCATCAGAAAGCACTACTCTCAACTCTCAAGCAATCTCCCAACTACAATCTCTCAATCACAATCTCTATTACAATCTCCCAATCGTATTCAATCATCCCAATCGTTTATTCGTCGCACTTTAAAAGCTCATAACTTTATCCAGAGACAATATTATTCAAAACGTTTTATATCATTGTATAGAGGAGGATTTAGGCTTTCAAATAAGCCTAAATAGAGCTTGAATAGATAATCCAGTTCAAGAAAATCAAAGCCAACTCTGAGGCCGATCCAACTGTGTCGGCTAGTTTTCAACGACAATCAAGCTCTATTTAGGCTTATTTTAAGGCTATTCAGGCCTATTTAAAGGCTATTTAGGCTTCTTTTAAACCCTAAAATGTCTTCTATACAATTATATAAAAGCTAGAAATGAAATACGATCTCTAGATAAAGTTTTGAGGCTTTAAAGTGTCAAGTTAAAGCTTTAGAGTCAAGTTAAAGCTTTAGAGTCAAGTTAAAGCTTTAGAGTCAAGAGTCAAGTTAAAGCTTTAAAGTGTCCTTTCAATTAACCGATTGTTCTCCCTTCAATCTATCATCTTTCTTTTTTTAGCTCATCTAAATAATCACTTAGAGAGTAAATCTCGACTCTGTGACATCCAGATACTCGCTTTTTTAACTCAGCTTTTACTTTTCATCAATCAGGCTCTATTTAGCTTATTTTTAATCAATTGAATCAATTGAATCAATTGAATCAATTGAATCAATTGAATCAATTGAATCAATTCAATCAATTCAATCAATTGAATCAATTCAATCAATTCAATCAATTGAATCAATTCAATCAATTCAATCAATTGAATCAATTCAATCAATTGAATCAATTGAATCAATTCAATCAATTGAATCAATTCAATCAATTCAATCAATTGAATCAATTCAATCAATTCAATCAATTGAATCAATTCAATCAATTGAATCAATTGAATCAATTCAATCAATTGAATCAATTCAATCAATTCAATCAATTGAATCAATTCAATCAATTCAATCAATTGAATCAATTCAATCAATTCAATCAATTGAATCAATTCAATCAATTCAATCAATTGAATCAATTGAATCAATTGAATCAATTGAATCAATTCAATCAATTGAATCAATTCAATCAATTGAATCAATTGAATCAATTGAATCAATTGAATCAATTCAATCAATTGAATCAATTCAATCAATTGAATCAATTGAATCAATTGAATCAATTGAATCAATTGAATCAATTCAATCAATTGAATCAATTCAATCAATTGAATCAATTCAATCAATTCAATCAATTCAATCAATTTCCATCAATTTCCATCAATTTCCCATCAATTTTTCCTCATCATCAACTTTCAGATGATCTAAAACCGAAACTCGATCATTTTTCTTCGAAGATGTCTTTTGAAAACGATGATTCTCCATATTGTCTTGATTTTACAAGGCTTATCGTTCGTTTTGTTATAAAATTTATAAGCTAAATACATAAGATCATCGATTTCCATAAATTTCCATATATTTCCAATCAAATCCTTCAATTTTTCTAGGGTCGTGCCAACAAATGTCTCGAAAAAAACTCGCAAACGATTCCTGATTTGATTTATTTGAAATCAAGAGTGAAAGACCGGATCGCTTTGGCTTTTGACGCCGAAAAGGTAGAAAAATTAACCGAATTTGCTAAACGAATCAACTTTGATAGCTTCTTGTCGATGTAACTCTCTTTCTAGAAGGAGTAAGCTGTCGAATGTTTTGGCTAGATTCTAGTTGGATGTCACATCAAAGCTTGAATTGATCAAATTCCTGCATTACGGAATTTCAGTCAAGCACTTTTCAAGGAAAACTCTTGCCGGCGTAACTCTTGTTCTAGAAGAGTAAGACAATCTAATACTTTAGCTAGATCTAAATTGGATATCACGTTAAACTTTGGATTACTCAAAATAGCCATACAGCCTCTTTGAAGTCAGGCACTTTTTGAGTAAAACTTCTCGCCCGTGTAACTCTTGTTCTACAAGAGTAAGGCGAGCTAATACTTTAGCCAGATCTAAGTTGGATGTCACAATATACTTTGGGTTACTCGAAATAGGAATGCTGGATCAAGGACCTGGGCTGGTCTGGTCTCTGGATCTAGCTATGGACCTGGGCTGGTCCTGGCTCTGCCATGGATTGGACCCTTCCATTCCTCCCTATCCAACCCACCATCAATTCCCCGATCTCCAGGGATTCCATCAGGTCCAGGCGGTCCTTTTGGACATCTCGATCGATCACAATTCTTGCATTTTTTCGTATTTCTCGAAAACTAACCAACTTCAAAACTCCTTGGCGACAAAACTCTCGTTCTATAAGAGTAAGACAATCTAATACTTTAGCTAGATCTAAATTGGATGTCACTTTAAACTTTGGATTACTCAAAATAGCCATATAGCCTCTTTGAAGTC